TGTTTTTCTAGACAGGATTTCTCTGTGTAGCCCTAGCTGTCCTGGAACTTGCTCTGTAGACCAGGCTGGTCTTGAACTCAGAGATCCTCCTGCCTCTGCCTCCTGAGTGCTGGGATTAAAGGCGGTCACCACCATGCCTGTCGTGTTTTGGCTTTGAGACAGGTTTTCAGTACTTAACCCCAGGTTGGCCTGCAACCCGTTATATAGTCTAGACTGGCCTCTAACTCACTGTTCTCCTGCCTCAGGCTTCCAGGGGTCAGGATTAGGGGTTCAGTTTTAAAATTTCCATCAGCAGGTTAGAGACCTTGCTGCACAGGCCTGATGACCCAAGTTCAGGCCCCAAAACTCACAGTGGGAGGAGAGAAACGACTCCTGAATGTTGTCCTTTGACCTCGGCAAGCACTCCTTCCTCGAACATGCATGCCCACAGTCATATGCACACATCACACCCCCACATAAAAATAGTACAATGTGTTTTTTTTTTTACTTTTAATTTTGCATGTGTAAATGTTTTGCTTATGTGAACTGTGTTTATGTCTGTCGCCGTGGAGGCCAGAAGAGGGTATTGGGTCCTCCGGAACTGAAGTTACATATGCTTATTAGTTTCCATATGGATGCTGGGAATAGAACCTGGGTCCCCTGCAAGAGCAGCAAGCTCTCTTAACTGATGTTTCTCCAGCTCCAATTAAATTGTTGGGTTTTTGTTTTGTTTCGTTTTGTTTTCCGTTTAAGGATTTCAGACTCCTTGAGGGCAGGGGTCAAGGCTTGCTTTAGCTCATTGACCCTAGAGGGTGCTGGTCAACGTGTGTGAAAGGAGTCTATGTTCTGCAGTTCACAGGCTTACTGTGTGCCAGACAATGTGGTAAGTGTTGCACATACATTATCTTACCTGCAAACGGAAACCAAGACAAGGAAGGGACAGCCTTGGGAAGGTAGACCCAAAACTAACTTTGCTGGTGCCAAGGGTGCTGCCCTCTGCTGGTGACTTGGACTGGGACAACATGCTACACAGAAGGTATTCTGTAGTACCTTCCAGAAAATTGAGTCAATCTCTCTCTTCTTGGGAAGAAAACCATGAGAAGGGACCTCTCAGACTCTTATGAGAAAAGAGAGGTTCTCTCCAAAGCCACAGGGGCTAGGAGAGAGGAAGAAGGGGGCCAGAGAGCTGGAGCTAGAAAAAGAACAGAAAGATGATGGGGAACGCTAGTTGAAACCAACTTTTTAAAAATAACATACATCGGGATGGGGGAGATTGCTCAGTGGTTCAGAGCACCTGTTCCTCTTGCAGAGGATCTGGGTTGATTCCCAGAACCCACATCAATGCCCTCTTCTGACCACCTAGGTGCACAGGCATGCATACATGCAGGCAAAACATTCATACATAAAATAAAATGAATAAGGAGAGAGAGAGAGAGAGAGAGAGAGAGAGAGAGAGAGAGAGAGAGAGAGAGAGAGAGAGAGAGAGAGGAGATGATCCAGTTGTGGTGCATGCCTACAATTCCAGTCCTCTGTTGGAGGATGGAGGCAGGCTATATTGTAGTGAATTTAAGGCCAGCCTGGGCTACTTGTCTCAGGAAAAAACAAGCAAGCCAAATAAAAGATACTTATCCTTAACATGTGAGAATACATTCTGATATTTTTGTAGGTGTTTTAAGATTTATTCATTTTATTTATGTGTGTTACCTGTATAAGTTTATGTGCACCATATGTATGCAAGTGCCCTTTAGGGGCCAGAGGTCATCAGCTCCCTGGAACTGGAATTATTGGATCCTGGGACTGGGTTTCCCTGTGTAGATCAGACTGGCCTCGAACTCACAGAGATCCACCTGCTTCTGCCTCCCAAGTGCTGAGATTAAAGGTGTGTGTCACCACCACCTAATTCAGATCATGTTTCTTAAACTTATATTTCAGTGGTGTGTGTGTGTGTGTGTGTGTGTGTGTGTGTGTGTGTGTGTGTGTGTATACTAGTTTTTGAGGCAAAATATGTTATCTGACTGCCAATCTTAGTACCAACAAATAAACAAACCAACAGAAAAGCGGGAGGCGGGCCCTGGAAAGCCACACTTGAAAGCTCCTGGCCAGCAAAGCTGAGCTGGAAGTGAGGATTCACTGCGGATGGAAACAGAAGGCCCGACTCTACGGAGTGCCATCTCCCCGAGTGCAGAAACTTCTGACACCACAGCAGACAGAGGTCTCTGAGTTCCCCGGACGATCGCTATGCACCAGAGGTTCCATCACCCAAGACTGTTCCGTTGATGGACAGCACCAATTGCTAGAATGTTCTTCCTAATTGCCCCCCAACTTCCACCCCTCAGTTCTCATTCTCTCCCTCTGTTGCAATCCAGACTAGAAACGCAGAAGCGCATACATTAAGTAGCTGTCAGTGTTCTCGAAGCTTTCCCTCACTGCATTAGCATTTCTTCTTTCTAGTATCTGGGCTTCTAGGACTTCACTAGCCTGCTCGTCTTTTTAGAAGTCAGCATTATTGAACACAGCAGACAAGTCCACACAGAGACGGAGGGCTTCTCCCCCTCCTCTCGCTCTCTCATAGTGTGTGTATGTGTGTTCCTGGTGAGCTGGGTGGAGGTTAATGTGTGTCACGGTGTGTGTGTGTGTGACGGTCAGACGACAACCTCTGGGAGTCAGTTCTCGCCTTCCTCTTTATGCAAGTTCCCAGCCGGAACCCGGGTCACCAGGACTGTATGGCAGGTGACTTCACTCATGAGCCATATCACTGGCCTCTTTCTTTCTCTGAGAGAATCTCACGGAGTCCAGGCAGTCCTTGACCTTTCTGTGTAGCTGAGGACGACCCTGAACGTCTGATCCTGCTGTTCCTACCTTCCAAGGGCTCGGATTATAGACAGGCAGGTGACAACACACCTCCCTAGGCCTTTTCTGTTTGTTTTACGAATTCTCAAAACACTGACAGGCAAAAGGCACCACTGTTATTCTTTTACCAAAAGAGGCTTAGAACATTCAAATTGATTACCCAGATATAGCTAGCCAATGGAGGGAGGATGGGTTTATCCAGATCTTCCTATGACACCTAGACGGGAACTGGGCTTGTAAATGCATCCTCATGTCTAGTAAAAGCAAAACCGTATTGCTGGATAGCTTTTTGTTTTAGACAAAGTCTTTTTAAAATTTATTTATTTATTTATTTATTTGAGACAGGGTCTTTCTCCATCTAAATGGCTGTCCCGGAACTCACGACACTGACCAGCGCGGCCATCAGGCGGCTGTGTGGCATCCAATCGAGCTCTTTAATGATCCGCCACATCTGCATGTAATGGCTGTTTGGGGTTTCCAAAGCGAGGTGCCCACTCAAGTCTGAGGCGGTTTTCCTCTTGATTTTTCTGTTTACAAACGTGTGTGCACGTGGCTGTGAATGCGGAAGCGAGAGGTCAGTCTCAGGTGCAGTTCCTCAGGCATCTTTCACTTTCTTCTTTTAAAAAGACAGTTTCTCTTATGGGCTGGAGAGGGAGCCCCCAGAGACCCTCCCGTCTCTGCTTCCCCAGCGTGGAGAACGATAAACAAGTTCTGGGGATTGAACTCAGGTCCTCATCACTGTGTACAAGAACTTTTCTGGCTGAGCCATCCCCCCCAGTCCATGGCTTCTTTGCTATTTTTCTACAGCAGTTTTCTTACAGGTTTTTAGAATTTGTTACATTTGTTTACTTAGATTTCTTTATCACTTGTGCATTACACATGCAAATCCCTATTCTGTGGCTTACCTTTTGTCTTCTCACTATGCCAGGACACTGAGGGCCTTGCACACGTTACCACTGAGCAACAGACATGCTCTCTTCCTTATTGGTATCTTCTAATAAGAGCATAGACTGGCACACTCATCTAGTGAAGCGTGACACTCTTGGGTCTTTAATTAAGGCTTTGTTTAAACTGAGATGCAGGTATTCCCCTAGGTTGTCACCCCAAGCTTCACGGCTTTCTTCACATTCAGGTCAACAATTCACGTGGGATTTACTGCTGTGCTTGGTGTAAATTAGAGAGGAATCCGATTTTATATTTTTCCATATAAACACAATGATCCGGTGTCAAGTAGGTCCTTTCCCCTACTCTATTGTGCCAACTTTTATTATTATTATTTACATTTTCTTTCCTGGACACCTTTGTTATAAATTGACTACTGTCCATAAAGGTGGGGCTGTAGCTTGGTTCTCTATTCTATTCCATTGGTATGTTTATCCATCGGGATATTATCTTAATTTCTTTAGTGTACTGTTGACAAGCAGCTTTATTCTCCGGGAGCGCAAGTCCTCCCTCCTCTCATGCTTAGATATTTTTGAGGCTGGGATGGCTCATTCAAACGGATCCATTCAGACGTTTTAAAGAGTGCGTGGGTCCGGCCGGGAAGAGGCGTGCTCTGAGGATTAATAGGAGAATCAAGCGAGGCTCCTTTTTGTTTCCATGGCATTCTCCCAAGGGTGGGAACCTACAGCCACGGTGCCAATCACTCTGTAGGGAGACCATAATGCGTCAGCAGGCTCCCTCGTCACTTACCCTACAGGGAGAAACAAATCTCAAAATCCAGGTACGAATCCAAAGAAGACAATACTCCCTGCACCATCTTCCACCCTATCGTAGAGGTGCGCCTTTTCCCGCAGGTCCCACGGCCTCGCGCGCGCTGCGGCAGGGGGAACCCTTAGCGATGTCTGTCCTCCGCTTGGAGAAGCACCCCATGGACGGTGAGAAACGGTCCTGAGCAGCTGTCCGCTAAGGGACTGTTGTCTAATTGGAAAACGAGCCTCGCTAGGTGTGCAACGCTTAACCAAGACCAAACCACGGGTCTCAGACCCCGAAACGCACAAGCCTCCGGGTACCACTCGCTTGTGACCAATCAGAGGTCTCCTGGCGTCACTTGCCCGCCTCCTAGCCCTGTCCGGCCACTTCATTCGCTGCTCACAAAGCAATCCCGCCGCGCGTTCGGCCCACCAGCCAATCAGAGAATACGGGGCGGGACCTTCCAGGCGCATTGAGGGAGGCCGTACCCCGCCAGGAGAGCCTCGGGAGCCTTCGAGTTCTTTCGTTTTCCCCTCCAGGGTAAAGTTATGTTCAGTCTTCCATCAACACATTTATTTTTTCCGCCTGACTCGGCGCGCGTGCGCAGTGCCACCTAGCCCAGGCTGTTCCTGAGATGTAAGCGTGTTGAACCCGGGGGAAGCCGAACAGCCGTCCTGCAGGTCAGTGCATCCCACGTCCGGCCTCGAGTTGCTTGCTACTTCCTGCAGGCCCCAAAACAAGGATTGTAAGGCCAAAAAAAAAAAATGTCCAGTGAGGTCCCACCGAGATTTGAACTCGGATCGCTGGATTCAAAGTCCAGAGTGCTAACCATTACACCATGGGACCTGCTGGCGGCTTTAGGCGCCCGGCAGCCTTCTCAAGCCGCATGACGCTGGGTAACCTTTCCTAAACTTCGCTACGCTTGGTTTGGGCCGCTGGCCGAGGGCCGCCATGGCGGGCAGACACGGAACCACCAAGATTCCCACGTCCCTACGAGTTCCAAACGTTCCCGGGCCCCGAGGCGTCACTGCTTCCGGTGCTCCTCCAGGGGTCCCGGCCCTAGCCCCCAAGTCCAGGGGGGCGGCGAGTTGTCGGGTCGGAGCGAGTCTGGAGAAAGCGCCCCGGACTCCGGGCAGGAGGTTCGGCTCGCGCAGCCTTGCGCTGTCTACTTGTTTACTGTGTTTCTAGGAGGAGGACCGTGGCGAGGGCGCTTTGGCCCAGCGGGGAAGGACGCGGACTGGCACGTGGTGGCTACGGCCGTTCAAACCCCGGACGCGCCTGGGATGCAAACCCGGGATACCGGAGAGCGCGCCCCACCTGGTTGCGGCAGCCAGCGCTCCACGCAGGCCAAGTTAGCTGCACGGTTGATCCGCGGGCCGGCGCTTCCAGTTCTGCACGCCCGCGCGCGCTTCTGAAGCCCCGACTGCCGAAACTTCTAGCATTTGGATCCTTAGAAAGATCCAGTCAGATCATTAACAACAGACACACACACACACACACACACACACACACACACACACACACACACACACACACACACACACACACACACACCCCCAAGACCCTTCCCTGGGCTCTCTCGTGCTTCGTGGACTCTAAAAGTGTTTCTGCAGGTCAGTCTAGCAACAGTTTACGTGTCATTTTGACTCAGCAATTTCACCATGTGGGGGGGCATTATCCTACTGGACATCCGGCTTGTTTAAGGAAGTTCTCGACTCTGTATTGTTTATTATAATACAGTGAGAATTGGCAAAATAAACAATGGCTATTCCGTAAGTGCTGTACAAGTGTTTAAGAAATTGCTGTGTGCGGGGCACAGAGGTTTTTGTGCTCACAGAGAAGCACTAGGGGAATCAGGGATGTTAAACACACTGGGTTGTGTCCCTTCAGTGAGAGAGATGTATATAACCTGTTTCCGCCTAGAAAGCTGGGAGTGGACATGATTAACAGCCTGGTGACCTTTGTGCTATCTGTGTGGCAGAGACCGCACCAGATCCTCCCCCAGACCCTTATCAGTAGCGTGTTTTCCTCTCAGTCCATCTATAAAAACAAGTTGTTTGTTTGGTTTTGGTTTTTCGAGACAGGGGTTCTCTGTGTAACAGTCCTGGCTGTTCTGTAACTCCCTCTGTAGACCAGGCTGGCCTGGAACTCAGAGACAGGCTTGCTTCTGCCTCCCAAGTGCTGGGATTAAGGGCCTGCATCACTATAGAAACAACGTGTACTTTACAAAGAGTTTCAATGTAGTCATGTCTTAAGCTTTGTTGTGCACATAAGATGGAGTTAATTATCACCAGGAAAGTTTTCACCAAATTGTGCTGTGCTTAAATATACCTAAAATAAACTCCTTGGTGTCAGATTCTCAAAGTTTGAACCAGCACTGGCTAGTGAGTTGTGTTGAATCCACGGTAGTCTTGCCTCCTGTGGATCATTACTCTGCTGGCCTTGGTGGACACACACACACACGCACACGCACACTGCAAACTTGTATTGAGACAAAAGACAAACCAAACAAATGCATAATAAGATGCCATGCGTGTGCAAACGGAAGAGCCACACACTAGTGCAATCTATTTGCTGTGTGATGTATTAGTCAGGGTTCTCTAGAGTAACAGAACTTATATAATGAATGTGTGTGTGTGTGTGTGTGTGTGTGTGTGTGTGTGTGTGAGAGAGAGAGAGAGAGAGAGAGAGAGAGAGAGAGAGAGAGAGAGATGTATGTAAAGGGGGTTTATAGAATGACTTACAGGCTTCGGTCCAGCTGATCCAACAGTGGCTGGCTGTAAAATGAGTTCCTTGGTCAGAAGCATTACTGTGTGGAATACCATGACAGTGGATAAAGCATTCTGTTAGTTCATGGATGGTGGTTTTGGCAGAAGCGTTACCCGCAGCAAAGGCAAATCCCTAACCTGAATAAACATCTACGCCTGTAAGGACAAAGTGTCCTTTCCAAGGAAGAAGTGAGCCAATGTAGTAAAACTGCCACCAGGTCGCCGGCTGGTCACCCGGAATGGTGCCGTACCTGGGGCTCATTGTTGGTCTGTGTTGTTGGCAGATCTGGCACTCAGCAGCAGCTGTAGCCAGGTCAGCCTTGGTGAGTGGAAGCTTCCAGCAGGTGATGTGGCCAGGTGTGCAGGTGTGTCTTCCTACATCAAGATCTAGATTAGAAGTAGATCTTTCCACTTCAGATTTAGCAAAAATTCCTCACAGGTGTGCCCTCCAGTTTTAGGTTTTTTTTTTTTTTTTTTTTTTTTTTTTTGGTTTTTCGAGATAGGGTTTCTCTGTGTAGCTTTGCACCTTTCCTGGAACTCACTTGGTAGCCCAGGCTGGCCTCGAACTCACAGAGATCCGCCTGCCTCTGCCTCCCGAGTGCTGGGATTAAAGGCGTGCGCCACCACCACCCAGCAGTTTTAGATTTTAGTTAATCTCAGATTTATTACCACTGACATCCAAGAATAGCCATCGCAGGCCTGTCTAACGTTCTTAAGGAATCCAGTGTTTGCAAGTCTGAGTGACAACAGAGCTGTACTCCAGGACAGATGCACTTACTCTCCAGGCTCAGTGTGTGTGTGTGTCTGTCTGTCTGTCTGTCTGTCTGTCGTCTGTCTTTAGCTGCCCCAGGGCAGATGCACTTAACTCTCCAGGCTCAGGGTGTCTGTCTTTAGCTTGGCCAGATGGACTTAGGATCCAGAGACTGATGCCCAGAAGCCAGAGATTTTAGAACTGGATCCAATTCTGGTAGTGTCCGAGACACCCATTGGCCTTAGTGCAGTAGGGCAGCCATTCCAGGTCCACGGACTCCTCAAGTGACATGCCAACCACAGGGTTCTGTGCCAACCCAACTTGCTGGGTTCCTGGTTGGCTCAGTCTCCTGGCTTTTTTTAAAAATTATTTTGTGTTCATTGGTGTTTTTGCTTGCATGTGTGTCTGTATGAGGGTGTCAGGATTTCTGGAGTTGCAATTACAGACAGTGGTGAGCTGTCATGTAAGTGCTGGGAATTGAACTGGGATCCTCTGGAAGAGCAGCCAGTGCTCTTACCCACTGAGCCGTCTCTCCAGCCCTCCCCTGGCTTCCTGGCCACTTTCCTGAGCTCGTTTTGCCCACCACTCCTAGTGCTGGGAGTTATCCGCTGTCCTTCTGATAGTTCCTCCTCAGTATAATGTATGACTTCCTTTACCCATGCATGCCGCCAGGAATGTGGTCAGCCCGAGTCCAGAATGCTCTGTTGGCAACAGTCTGATCTGAGGAGTGAATGCCCAAGAACTTTTCTAGCTGGGTGGTGGTGGTGGTGGTGGTGGTGGTGGTGGTGGTGGTGGTGGTGGTGGCACACGCCTTTAATCCCAGCACTCAGGAGGCAGAGGCAGGTGGATCTCTGAGTTGGCCTGGTCTACAGAGGGAGTTTCAGGACAGCCAGCGCTACACAGAGAAATCCTGCCCTAAAAATAAATAAATAAATAAATAAATAAATAAATAAATAAATAAATAAATAAATAAATGGAAAAGAAACAAGTTTGAAACTCTTGCATATTATCAGAAGAAACACTAAAGACTGTCCGTTTTGAGAACTAAACCAATTCTACCTTGAGCTTGTTAAGGGTTCCCTTCCTTCAAGGCTGAGCCTGAACACCAGGCATTTCCAGACCTCAGTTTTGCCGCTTATTTCATTCTTCCGAAGGTCGGACATGTTGGCGGAGGCCTTTAATCTCAGCACTCTGGGGGCACAGGCAGGATGATCTCTGTGAGTTCCAAGCCATGCTCCCCCCACCCCCCAAAAAGGGTTCCCTGACTCACAGAGGACACATTGGCATTATCTTTCTCCTCTCTCCCTCTCCAGGGTTTCACTATGTCGCTCCCCCGCCACCCAGCGCTGTGTAGACCAATCAAAGGCACTGTTATCACAACTGGCCTGGCATGGTTTCTCAAGAGCTACTGTAGGGCAGGAATATATCCCTGCAGGGTGTAGGCGACAGTTCCTTCTGCTTTTACACGGGTGACAGTGACGCCCCCTTCTATCCCTACTTCTCCCTGTTCTGGTTCGCCCTCTGCGTTCCCTCCACATTCTGTCTTGGCTTAATCTCAGCTCAACTGACATGCTCACTGGCACCCCCCTTCTTTCATTCCTTGGGTGATGGGTGGCGTTAAAGGATTGCTTCCCTTCTCCTTGCCTGGGATTCGGTTTTTCTCACCCACTCGTTCACTCCATTTGGTGTGGCTGGGACTTCTCAGAAGAGGCTCTGGGCCTTGGCAGTCTACAGATGTGGCTGGTGTCTTCCCAGACTTGGGTCACTGAACCACTTGCTAGGGCCATAGGAGCATCCAAAGGAAGAAATGTTCCCGTTTTGTGCTCAGAGACCCTTACTATCACACTGTCATTGAAACTGCCCTTGGGAAGATGGGGACAAAGTCTACTCACCCCAATTAGGGAACCAATGACAGGCCAAAATAAGGAAACCCCTGTAAGACAAAGTGCTAAACGGTCTTATTAATAAAAAACCCAGAGCCAGATAGTGGGGTTAAAACCGGGAGATCAGAAAAGCAAAAAGAAGCCAGGCATGTTCTCACCACTTGGAGAGCCTCAGCCAAAGAGACCTACTTCCTGTGTACCCACGCCTATATGCCGTTCTGTTCTGCCATCTCATTTCCTCTCTCTGCCCAGCTACATCACTTCCACTTCCTGTCTGTCTGTACAGACCTCCAGACCCTTATGGTTAGTGCTGGGATTATAGGTATGTACCACCAACACCTGGCTCTGTTCCCAGTATGGCCTTGAACTCACAGAAATCCAGACGGATCTCTGCCTTCCAAGTGATAGGATTAAAGGCGTGTGCTACCATTGCCTGACCTCTGTTTACTATAGTGGCTGACTTTTTCCTCTGATCCTCAGATAAACTTTATTGGGGTACACAGATAAAATATCACCACAACCCCCCCAAGTCCATGGTAGTGAGCCAGTGAGCTTTATTGGTGTTACTTACAGGGTGTTATTTATTGGGGTTACTTACCTACTTATGGGTGAGGGGTTACCATAGGAGCAGAAATGACCCAAAAGACAGCTGCATCATGAAAGCAGTGTCACAAAAGCTGTAACCCCAGAGCCCCCTGTACAATTTGCAGGCAGCTCTATGGTTGGAGAATGTCTTTTTCAGGCAGTGCAGCTCATCTGAGAATGCCTCTTGGCAGTCCATACAGCATCTATCCATACACTTGGGAGGGAGGGGCCTAGTGTGTCTGTTGGGTTTCAGGGACTTCCTGAAGCCTTTGAGTTGAATGGAATGCTTCACACGCCTTTAGGACATGGGGTGTTCCTGAGGAAAAGGGGTCACTGGGTCATAGCAAACTCTACCAGAGCTCCATCTTCACTGTCTCTCTCTCCTGGAGAGATGGTTCTAGATCTGGAAGTAGAGAAGAGACCGTGCTTGAGCATGCGGATGATAACCCCATCAAAATGGAGGCTGTTAGAGTTGCTGTGAGCGTGCCTGGGGTTACCACACCTTGCTTTGAGTGCTGGTGATCCGAGCTCAAATCCCCATGCTTGGGTAGCAGGCACATTGGCTTCAGAGCCATTTTCCCAGCCCCTGACTTGGGGTTGGTTTGTTTTGAAAAACAAAAAACAAACAAACAAAAAAAACAAAGCAAACAAACAAACAAAAAAAAAAACTCACTGTATACCCCTGATTGGCAGATCTGTGAATTCAAGGCTGGGATTAAAGGCCCTCACCACAGCCAGCCAGCTGGTGTATCCCACCCCCTTCATTCTCCCTTTTGGTGTCTATGGACCAGCTCTGAGTAATAATTCACTCAGGAAGTAAAATATAAAGTGAAGTGTGTTCAGAGTGTCCAAAATTTGCCTCAAGAGTAAATTGGAGTAAATGTAAATTTTAAAATTAGCATTATTTTTAATGACTTAGAAGTTATTTTTATTCTAGTATATTCTATATTACACATTAATTATACAAAAATTATAATAAACAAGTATATTTTAAAGTCAATGTTTCAAAGCTTAAAACAAGCCAGAAATGGTAGCTCACACCTGATATTGCAGCACTGAGGGGTGGAGGCAGGAGGATTGCCATGAGTTTGAGCCCAGCCTGATCTACAAAGTGAGTTCTAGGCCAGGCCATCTTAACAAAATAAGATCAGAGTTATTCTGGTTCACATTTAACCGTTCAGTCTTCCAGTCATTTATTTATTTTAAATTTATTTTTGTGCATATGTGTGCCTGAGTGTGTGTATGCACCCCATGTATGCAGGAGCCTTGGAGGTCAGAAGAGGTTTCCAACCCCCTAGAACGGGAGTTCCTGACAGTCGTGACTCATCCTGTGGGTGCTGGGAACCGAACCTAGGTCCTCTGCAAAAGCAGTAATCACTCTTAAGCACTGAACTATCTCTCCAGCCCCCTATCCATTCACTTAAACACAGGCTTTCTCATAGCCCAGGCTGGCCTTAGCGCTCTTATCTCCCCTGCTTGAGTTCTGGGATTACAGCTGTGCATCGTAACATCTGGCTTTGAATAACGTTGTCATTCGACTTGGTGAAAAATGAAATGATTGCAATTTTAGCGTTATGAAACCGAAGGCTGGGGCACAATGACAGTGTAAAGTTTATTTGTATATGGAATGATTCCCACCATCATGCTAGTTAGCCGCTTATGATTAGCTGAAGCAAGCATATGGCTATCTACCTTTATTTACAGTTGATTTGCTGAAGAATTTTCAGGTCAATATTCTTTTTTTTTTTTTTTTTTTTTTGGTTTTTCGAGACAGGGTTTCTCTGTGTAGTTTTGGTGCCTGTCCTGGAACTCACTTTGTAGACCAGGCTGGCCTCGAACTCACAGAGATCCTCCTGGCTCTGCCTCCCGAGTGCTGGGATTAAAGGCGTGCACCACCGCTGCCCAGCCAGGTCAGTATTCTTTATATAATTATGTTATATATATATATGTTATATACACAACATAATTATTGATTCTTTGGGAATTTCATGTCATGCACCCCAATCCCACTCACCTCCCAGCTCCTCCATATCCTTCCCCAACCCTGTAACATTCCCCCCAAGAAAGCCAACCACCCAAAATCAATTAAAAACAAAAGAACACAAACAAACAAGAAACCCACCCTGATCCTCCGTCTTTCCAACATTTCTTCATTCACCCCAGTGGGTCCTTCGGTGTGTCACGCAGTATACCCTTTTGTCCAGTCAGCCCCACTCACCAAATGTTCATTGCCTCTGGAACGCCATCATCACTGGACCCTCACCGAAACTCCTCTCATACCCTGCCGTTGCCCCGAGTCGTGGAGATCCTGTGGTTATCATTGCGAAGGACCAGTCCCTGCACTCACTCCAGCGTCATAGACAGGTAGATGTTAGGGTGGGCCAACCCAAGGCCCAGGATGTGGGTCTGGATGAGCGCTGAGCTGGTTGGTCTGGGCCACTGGGACTGCCCCCTCAGTCGAGGGGCAGAGCCAGCTCTCCTAGGCCTATGCCATCGGGGCCAGCTCTCCCACGCACATGGTGAAGGGTGGGGTGAGGCCAGTTCTCCTGCTGCAGTGTCCAGCCAGGGAGGGGCAAAGCTACCTATCCCAGGGCCAGTGAGGATTTCAACACGCATGGTTCCTATGACCCCCTGAGGCAACACGGGCCATGGACATCATCACAGGCCCGAGCTACAGCAGGAAAATGGACCCAGACACGGTCCTTGCAGCTCGGGCCCAGATGTCACCATGGCCCCAGTGGCAGCACAGGCCCTGAGACTCCAACATGGTCTCAGGTAGCTATCCAGACCCTGGGCATCCACACAACCCGTGACGGTAACAGGGGCCACAGACATCAACTCAGCCCCTGGCTGCTGCTGGGCCACGGACCCAGACATGGCCCTACGCAGCACCCGGTGCCCCAACAACACCATGGACCCTTGTGCCAGTGCAGGCCACCTAGATTGGCATGGTCCTGGTGGCGGACTAGCCCTCAGACAACAACATGGTCACAGGTTGCAGCCTAGCCCCTGGGCATCCGTGTGGCCCTTGGTGTTACCATGGGTCACAGACATCAGCACAGATCCTGGCTGTGGTAGGACCACAGACTCAGACACAGTCCTTGGTAGCAGCCAGGGCCTAGATGTCACTATGGCCCCAGGTGGCTACAGGCCACTCAAATTGGCATGGCCTTTGGTGGCACCACGGGTCACAGACCGCAGCTGTGATAGGACCATGATCAGGTCAGTATTCTTTTAATCTTGCTTAAATAGCGTTCAGTGTCCACACAGTGAGTAAAGAAGTTATATATCACGCTTCGTTGTAGGACTGGTCCAGCCCTGCTGTGTGCTCAGTCCCCTCCCCCACCCCCATCCCCACCAGCTGCAGTACTGATGCTCATCTGACTAGAACTCAGCTTCCAGCAGCCCTAACTACCAGCCACACTGTAGTCTGAACCAGGCTGTAACTTCTCCAGGCAAGGACACTGGCTATTCATATTAATTGACTCTACACAACAGAACCGAACAAAAATGTGTGCACGATGGTGATACCAAAAATGATGTTCTGATCACATCATTTCATCTTTGTGTGTGTGTTTGAGACAAGGTCTCTCTGCGTAGCCCTGGCTGTCCTGGAACTCATCATGTAGACCAGGCTGGCCTTGAACTCACAGAGATCTGCCTCTGCCTCCCGAGTGCTGTCATTAAAGGTGTGTGCCATTATCTACTTTTATTTTCACATTTATTTATGGTATGTGGGAAGGGGGGGGCATGTGCTCATGGAGGTCAGAGGACAATTCTGAGAGTCACTGCTCCCCTCCCACCATGTGGGCCTCAAGGGATCAAACTTGGGTTTGTCAGGCTTGGCAGCAAGGGCTTTACCCACTGAGCCACCTCGATGCCTCCAGCAGCCATTCTCGTGGTGGAGGGTACCAGTCAGCATCTTCCTTATTATCGACTCAGATGAGTGAGTGAGTTGCTCTCTATGCAGGTGCTTCATAAAAGGGGGGGGGTCCTCCGTGCTTAATAACTGTTAGGTCATCTCCACCGCCCTGATCAGGGATTGGCCCATTGTAGGTGGAGTTTTCCTTTCCTAGAGTCGCTTGAAAATAAACACACTGAGGCTTATATTAATTACAAATGCTCGGCCAATAGCTCAGGCTTATTACTAACTAGCTCTTAACATTTTAAGTTAACCCTTATTCCTTATTTACACTCTGTCACGTGGAGGTACCTTTATTAGCATGGCACGTTCATCTCCTGCTCCCTCTGCATCTGGCTGGTGACTCCTCTGACTCTGCCCTTCCTCTCCCATCATTCTCTCTGTGTCAGGCTGTCTCACCTAATTTCTTCCTGCCTAGCTATCAGCCAATCAGCTTTTTATTAACAACGAAAGCAATACATATTTACAGTATACAAAGATTGTTCCACAGTAGCCCGTTTCTAAGGTCTTCTAACTGAATAACTCAGTAACTGAGCTATCCATATCCCTTGCTCCAGCTACCAGCTGGTTTGCTCCCTGCACCTCTCATTAGAGGAGTCTGTCTTTGGTATCCCTAATGACCAGTCCTACAATTTGTGTTGCCCACAGCCAATCTGTTTTGTTTATTGGGTTTCCTGTTCCTCGAACTTCTAAGTGGAGCACTGTAGATAGTTCTTGAAGTAGTGGAGAGCTAGCTTGAATTGGACCTGAGCGTTGGTGTTGACCCGGTATGTGTTATAAGACTTCTCCATGGCAGCCATCTCTGGATCCTTCCGTGGCTCCCGTGGCTGGTGCTGTACAGTCACCTCTGGGCACGAGCCCACCAACAGGCTCCCCAGCCCATCAACAAAGAACTCTGCAAAGAGAGGAGGAGCGGGAGACAGAGGGAGCTGCAGTCAGCCAGGCTTCCCCTGCCACACTTGAGGGGAGCACCTGGTTCCTAACCACAGGGAAGGCCGGCATCTTGTGGAGCCGCACACTTGGCTCCAGGGAGTCCTCGAGTTGGAAGGGAAGAAACAGATAACCTCGTTTCTCCATTAGGAGTGGGAGCAGAGGTTCCAACGGGTTCCATTAAATGGTACTGTGGGTTCTGGAGTGGAAGCAGGGGTGGGGGTGGGGGGGCAGTCACCAGGTGCCGTTTTAGGTGGCGGGGACTTTCTGAGAGAAGAATGCGAAGCAGGGTCACGAAGAGTAAAGGACAGAGCTTAGGGAGAGGAAGTGGGGTGTCTCCAATGGGCAGAGGCAGCCTAGGGGAGACACAGAGAGCCGAGGGTGGCAAGGGGGACCATGAGCTCCATAGCCTGGGGGCGAAAGGGGAAGGAGATCCCTGGTGTAGCGAGAAGGGGTTTCCGCGGAGGATCCCTCCCCACCCCCTGCCTCACCCCTCCAAACCTCGCACCTGAGTGAGCCACTCGTTGTAGGCGAGGGTCAAAACCAACTCTTCGGAGTTGGTCTGTGTGAGCCAAGAAGAAGTTTACGACACCGCTGGTCACCACGCATCCGGGGAAGCCATCGAGGGCCTGGAACCCTCCCCACCTCTGGTGAAGACAGCCCCCCTTCTCGCTCTGCTCCAACAACAGCCTGAACTGGAACGCATTTCCCTGCACGCTGCCACCAACCTAGTCAGCAAACAGAAACCGGGGCCTGAGCAGGGTCAGGAGTCATCCTTCTAGGAAGCCTCACTGGACTGCCTCCACTAGAAGCTGCACTCTGTGGATCTAGCCTCCAAAGGACCCTCAGTGGCTCTGCCATGTGGCCACAGCTCTTCTCATACTGCTGCGGGGTCCTTTGGGTCATTGAATCCCCATCTTCACACGCACATACAAATGTGTATACACATACGTACATACTTGCTTTGTAGCTCAGGCTGGCCTTGAACTCCCAAGTTCTGCTTCCACCTCCTAAGTGCTGGGATCGCAGGCATGCACCACCACACACACAGCTAATATTTATATCTTTAGGGTTTGTTGTTATTGTTGTCTTTGAGATAAGGTCTTATTCTGTAGACCAGGCTGGCCTCAAACTCACAGAGATCTGCCTGGCTCTGCCTCCCGAGTGCTGGGATTAAAGGCGTGCGCCACCACTGCCCGGCTCCAATTGTATTTTTATATTTAAAACAAATGTTGTGGAGGATGTAGAGATGTCTCAGAGGTTAAGAGCACTTGTTCTTGCCGAGGATCTGAGTTCTGTTCCTAGCCAGCACCCACAGGGCAGCTCACACCCATCTGTAACTCCAGTTCTAGGGGATCCAACACCTGCTTTTGGCCTCTGTGGGTACCAGGCACACTCATGGTGAACAGATATAGATGTAGGCAAAACAATTCTACACATAAAATAAAAATAAATCTAAAAAGAATATTTTTACATGTTATGACTGAACAAGAACACAGTTCTCTTAAACTTCATACAGTCCAGAAAAGAATTAGAAACGACGTATAAACATGCTGTTTTAAAAACAGAACAATTGTGAACTTTTTAGCGTGGGGTACAAAATTTGCTCAAAGAGAGCAATCAAGGGGTCAAAAGCAGAACTCACATGCTCTCGAGGCGAACTGTGAACCCCTGTCCCGCCTCATCTTTCCCCTCTGCTCCTCCCTCAGACACTGATATTCCTATGTAGCTAGAAGTTTCTCCAGTCCTGCCTGGGCCCTGCGGTCCCATGGCCTGCTTATAAAATAATCACACAGAGGCTTAATATTGTTTATAACTGCTTGGCCATTAGCTCAGGCTTACTACTAACTAGCTCTTACACTTAAACTCAGCCCATTTCTGTTAATCTATACGTTGTCACGTGTTCCGTGGCTTTACCTGTGTGCCATTACATGCTGCTCCCTGGACGGTGGGCTGGCGTCTCCTCACTCAGCCTTCCTCTTCCCAGAATTCTCCTTGTCTGCTTATCCCGCCTATACTTCCTGCCTGGCTACTGGCCAATCAGCATTTTATTTATCAACCGATCAGAGCAACGCATTTACAGCATACCGAGTGATATCACCCATCATTCCTATTTTCTCCATCCCTCCTCATCACTACAGACTGCAGCTGAGCTTGGCCATTGTCCCTTACCACATCCAGTTCCGTTTGCTCCAGGACATCCACCAGTACCTCAATCTTGGTTTTGTTGTCGAAGAGAAAGTCATCATCCACCCAGAGGACATATTTAGTGTTCACCTGTGAGATGGCCAGGTTCCTACCAGCAAACCAGCCCTGCAGGTGGCATGGGGTTGAATCAGCAATTGTCATCTGGGGCTGGGGTTTCCTGAATTCTCAGTGGCCAGGCTGCCTCCTATCATGGGGGACACTGGACTCTGGGGGGATTCCATAGTTCAGACAGACCGACAACTGCTGGGTCAAAGAAGTCCGTGCCTCAGGGAAACATGGCAGGGACAGTGACCTTCTGGGGTCATGACAGACCACTGATTCAGAGACTGAGACAAAGGGTGGGAAGCCCCTCTTTGGTCCAGTGGCCTCTGGGAACGGACTGGAGCCCTTCTACCTCCTGGGAGATGTTGGTTTGGGGAACATCTGTTATCAAGGATAGCTTTCCCTTTCCTATCCTTTGGGAAGATGGGAAGGAAAGAGGAAGGAGAAGAAACAGGCCTTAAGGGGGACGTAGCTTGGGGCGGTCACAGGGAACAGAAGTCTGTTGTTACCCCTACACACCACAATCAGATGTCAGCTCCCGTAAGTCACTTATAAGAACCCCGTCAATTTCCACATCAAATGGGTGAAGATGGAGTAAACTAACAACTCATCAATGTGGAAACGTGAGATTGAATACCATTTCCCTCTGCCTCTGAACAGAGAAGCCGGCCCCTCTCACCACAGGACGCTGCTCCCTAGAGGAGACCATGGAAGCAGCTGAAGCTGGGGCTCTCCTGTTCTCAGAGCTAGGTGTCCCCAGTCTGAGGGGAACATACCTTCCCGAAGGGCATGGAATAATACTCCACGTAGTCATCTTTAATTTCCAGGGGCTCCTTGCTGTCATCGGCCACAATCACAGTTAAGTCTGGGTAATATTTTCGAATACTCTGCAGCAGGATCTTAAGCTTGTGGGGACGGAGGAAAGTCTTGGTGGCGATGGTCACCAGGTTCCTGAGCTTCCTCTCTAGAGAAAAATTTAAAAGTGGATGCTGGAACCGGACTCTGGATTTGCTCTGTTCAGATGGGTTTTGCTTCCTGCCAGGCCAGGGATTGAACCTAGGGTCTCATGCATGCTAAGCAAGCATTTAACAACTGAGCTACACTCCCGTCATCTGAGAGCTTCTTCCTCCTCTGACCGGTCAGCGTTGGGGACCTCAGGCCATCTGTACACAGGAAGTGCTTAGAGTTTGTCAGCTGTGCTGGGAAATAAAGACATTATAATGTATAATGGTGGTCTTTCTTTGGACCACCAGCTCCCAAATAATGACACAGAGACTTTTTATTAATTATGAAAGCTTGCCAGTCATTGATGGCCCACACCTCTGATCCCAGCACTCGGGAGGCAGAGCCAGGCAGATCTCTGTGAGTTTGAGGCCAGCCTGGTCTACAGAGCAAGATCTCGGACAGACACCAAAACAATACAGAGAAACCCTGTCTCAAAAAAAAAAAAAAAAGACAAAAGAAACAAGCAAACAAAACAACAAAAAATAATGAAAGCTTGGCCTTAGCTTAGGCTTGCTCCCAACTAGCTCTTTTTTTTTTTTTTTTTTTTTTTTTTTTTTTTTTTTTTTTTGGTTTTTCGAGACAGGGTTTCTCTGTGTAGCTTTGGAGCCTGTCCTGGAACTCGTTTTGGAGACCAGGCTGGCCTCGAACTCACAGAGATCCGCCTGGCTCTGCCTCCCAAGTGCTGGGATTAAAGGCGTGTGCCACCACCGCCTGGCCCAACTAGCTCTTATAACTTAAATTAATCTGTTTCTATTAATCTACATTCTGCCATATGGCTCGTTACCTCTCTTCAGTACTGTAAGTCTGACTTCCTCTGCATCTGGCTGGCAAATCTTCCCCCCACCCCCACCCCACCCCCACACACTCAGATTCTTCCCCCCAAGTTCCTCTCTCTCCCCAGAAGTTCCACCTATCCTCTCTTGTTTGGCTATTGGACATTCAGCTACTTATTAAACCAGTCAGAAGATGTCTTATGCAGGTGAGGTAGAACAGAGACACATGCTCACACAGTGTATTCAACTATCCCACAACAGTACAAGGTTACCCAACTGGGTGAAATCTTTTCACCCCTGCTTGGCTTTACCATGCCAATTTCCTGCTGTCTGAGTCTTCATTTTCTGTTTCTCTGTTAGCAACCCCTTGTGTCCTGCTTCCATCTAAATACTAGACGTCACTTAAGGGGTTCCAGAGGAAAGGTTCCCGAGCCTAGGAAGAGAAGAAGCGGTCTAAAGGACTCAAGACCTACCCTTGGCATCACTTCTAGGAAGAGCTTCCTAGGAGAAGTCCCCTGGCCTCTGTCTCAGGAAGGCACAGTTAGAAAGAAGTCTACCTGAAGACCAGAGGACCTGGAACAGGTTGTTCACTTTAAAGCATGTGACTCATAAAAACAAACAAGCAAAAAACCCACACAGCTTGGAGAGGCTGGGGAGATGTTCAGTGATTGAAACACTTGCCACTCAAATGTGAAGTCCCCCCAAGTTCATATCCACAGAACCCTCATATATGCTGGTGGAGTGTGGTGACATGCCTGTAAATCCAGCCTCAGAAGATGGATTCAGGCGATCCCAGAGTAAGCTGGCCAGGGAGAGTGTGGCTGTATTATCATGCTCTGGCTTTGACAGACAGACCCTCTTTCAATGAATGAGGTGGGACAGTCATGGAGGATGATTCCAGACATTAACCTTGGGTCTCCGCATGCATATCACATGCTCGTGTACACATGTTCATGTGAGCCACCTACACACATCTGTGCTGATACACATGTAAACATGTACACACACAAGTACAACATATGTACACATAAAAATAGAAAAGGGAAAAAAGCAAAAAGCTTGGAAAAGAGAAAAGGGTCAGTTTTTCCACGGAAAAGATACAAACAGCTGGAGCAGTGAGTGCTAGGTTCAGTTCACAGCACCTACCTGGTGGCTCACAACCACTTGTAACTGCAGTTCCAGGGGCTCTGCTGCCCTCTTCTGGCCTCCATGGGCACTAACTGAGCACATGGTGCACATACATATATGTAAGCAAACACACACACACACACACACACACACACACACACACACACACACAAATAAATACATTTAAAACAAAAGATCTGCCGGGTAGTGGTGGTGGTGCACGCCTCTAACCCCAGCACTTGGGAGGCAAAAGTAGGTGGGTCTTTGCGTTTGAAGCCAGCCTGGTCTACAGAGCAAGTTCCAAGATAGCCAGGGCTACAAAGAGAAACCTTGTCTCAGGGGGGAAAAAGATTCAATATTCATTCATAATAAAAATTTTTAGCAAGGAAATGGAAAATTGAAAGCGGAAAAGGTAAATAACAATGGAAACAGAAGGAAGAAGTGAGGGTTCTTACCCCGAAACACCTACCACACAGCAACATGAATGGCACAATGCTAGAATGTTCCTAAAGCCAGGAGCAAACAAAACTGCCTGCTACTATTATTCAGCATCATGGTGGAGACTGTAGCCAAATATAACATGAAAGTGTCTCAGTCATTGTTCTACTGCTGTGAAGAGACACCATGACCAAGGCAACTTATAAAAGAAAGCATTTAATTCGGAGGCTTGCTTATAGTTTCAGAGGGTTAGTTCAGGACCATCATGGCTGGAAGAATGGCAGCAGGCAGGCAGGCATGGTACTGGAGCAGTAGCTGAGAACTTACATCCTGACCCACAAGTTGCAGGCAGAGAGAGAGCTCTGAGACTGGGCTTGGCACAGGCTTTTGAAAACTCAAAGCCCAATCCCATTGACACACCTCCTCCAAAGCCACACCTCCTAATCCTTCCTAAACAGTTCCACCAACTAGGGACCAAACACTCAAATACATGAGTCTATGGAGGCCATTCTCATTTAAACCAGCACACCAGGAAAAAGAAACAATTGTAAAAACTGGGAAGAGATGATCCTCATCGTCATTTGTCTAAAGAGGATGCATGTTTCAAAAGGCACTGAGAAATGAGCTGAGATTCATTCCCGCCACACACACACCTCACCAAACTGTGGCATGCTCCCACCACCATGAATCCTTCTGAGATCGTTAAGTGTGGTTGTCAAGTTGATAGAATTTGAAAACATCTAGGTGTTTCCAGACAAGTTTAACTGTGGTAGGAAAATCCACCCTGAACGAGTGTCACTATTCCATAGGCTGTGGCCCTGGACTGCATAAGAAGCAGAAAGGAGGTGGACACTGGTGTTTACTCCTTTCTGCTCCTCTAGTGCAGGCACAGGTGACTGACTGCCTCGCACACCTACACATACCTTCCTTGCTGGGACGGACCGAACGCTCGACCTATGAGCCCAAAACACCCTTCCTCCCTTAAGCTGCTGTTGTATTTTGTAACAGCAGTGAGAAAAATGACCTTTAAAACCGTTAGCCAAAATAAATCTTTCCTTCCTTTTGAGTGGGGGGAAGGGGGAGGGAGAGCTATCAAGCACTAGGAATTCTGGCCCACGTCTGCAATCCCAGCACTTGGGAGGCAGAGGCTGGAGGATGGTGAGGTCAAGACCAGCCTAGACAGTGTACCAATACCCAATCTCACAAAACAAAGAGCAAAATCACTAAAAGAACAAATGTTTACAGAGTCAACATTAAAAAAAAAGTCACTTGGGACTGGGATGACGGCTTGGTGGACGAAGCAAAGCACCTGTTGCACAAACATGAGGTTGTGAGTTCAAATCCCCATAATCCATGTCAAGCTGGGCTCAGTGGCCATACCTGTAATTCCAGTGCTCCTAAGGTGAGATGAGAGGTGGAGACAGGAGGATCTCTGGAAGGTAGCAGGCCGGGTAATTTGGTATATGCAGTAGCAAATACTGCTTCAAATAAAGTGGAAGGCCAGGACCACACCCGAGATTGTGCTCTGAACTTCATATTCCCACTCTGGCTTGGCTGCGTGTGCATGCGTGTGCGTGTGTGCATACACACACACAATCACTAATTGCCTGTAATCTCACTACTAACAAGGTTGAGTCCAGAGGATTACCAGGTTGGTCTGGAATATGGAAGAAGGGATGAAAACGTAACTCTGTTGGTGGAGTGCCTGCCTAACACACCCACATTTCTAGGTTTGATCCCTAGTCACTGAGCATAAAATTCCAGCGCTTGGGGAAATGAGGCAGGAAGCTCAGAAGTTCAATAATATTCTCATTCCCAACTCTATACATAGTTTGAGCTCACCCTGGGCCACAATGAGATCTTGTCTCAAAAAAGGGCTGAGGCGACTGAAGAGATGTCTTAGCAGGTAAGAGCATGTACTGCTCTTGCAGAGGACCAGAGTTTGGTTCCCAGCATCCACGTCAGGTGGCTCACAACCACCTATACCGCCAGCTCTAAGGAGATCCAACCTCTGGCCTTTGTGGGCACCCATACAGAAGTGCATGTGTGCACACACACAATTAAAAATAATAAACATGGCCGGGCGGTGGTGGCGCATGCCTTTAATCCCAGCACTCGGGAGGCAGAGCCAGGCGGATCTCTGTGAGTTCGAGGCCAGCCTGGTCTACAGAGCGAGATCCAGGAAAGGCGCAAAGCTACACGGAGAAACCCTGTCTCAAAAAACCAAAAAAAAAAAAATAAATAAATAATAATAATATTAAACATGAATTATGAAGGAAAAATGATCCCTCTGTCTTAGTTACTTTTCTAGTGCTGTGAAGAGACACCATGACCAGGGCAGCTTATACATAAATCATTTACCTGGGGGCTTGCTTACAGTTTCAGAAGGTGAGTCCATGACTGTGGTAGTTTGAATGTAATTGGCCCCCATAAGCTCATAGCGAGTGGCACTATTGGGAGGTGTGGCTTTTTTGGAGTAGGTATGACCTTGTAGGAGGAAGTGTGTCACTGTGGAGGTGAGCTTTGAGGTCTCATATATGCTCAAGCCACATCCAGTATCTCAGTTCACTTCCTATTGCCTGCACAAGATGCATAACTCTCAGCTACCTCTCCAGCTCCATGTCTGCCTGCATGACACCATGTCCCACCATGCTGATAATGGACTGAACCTCAGAACTGTAAGTCACCCAATTAAATGTTTTCCTTTATAAGAGTTGCCATGGTCATAGTGTCTCTTCATAACAATAGAAACCCTAACTAAGGCAATGACCATCATGACTGGGAGCAAGACAGCAAGCAGGCAGGCATGGCACTTTAGAAGTAGCTGAGAGCTTACATATTTTTTAAAAGATTTATTTAATTTTATGTGTATTGGTGTTTTGTTTGCATGTATGTCTATGTGAGGGTGTCGGATCCCCTGGAACTAGAGTTACAGACAGTTGTGAGCTGCCATGTGGGTGCTGGGAATTGAACCCAGGTCCTCTGGAAGAGCAGCCAGTGCTGTTAACCTTGAGCCATCTCTCCAGACCCCAAAAGCTTACATTGTATTCACAAGTGGAAGCAGAAAGAAAGAGACTGAGTCTGGCATGTACATTTGAAGCCTCAAAGCCCACCCCCAGTGACACACCTCCTCCAACAAAGCCACACCTGCTAATCCTTCCCAAAACAGTTCCACCAACTCGGGACCAAGCATTCAAATATGTGAGTCTGTGGGAGCCCTTGTTATTCAAAGCACCACACCCTCTGACCTTCACCCAGCCTGATGAAATCCTTGAGTCCCAAGGACAAGAACCTTACCGGGTCCAGGGTCATACAACTTGGGTACAATAGGTTGGTTGATGGTCACTGGAAACTTGGCCACTGAGGACTTGGACTCCAAACTCACTGGAAGGAAAAGAAAGGTAAGAGCCCAGGTAGTGTGACTTCTGATGAGACCCTGCTGCCCTGAGGAAGCCAATGAAGCCAGCAGCTGCAGGGAGAGTGCTGGTTGGGAGGAGACTGAGGACCCATGCAGCAGGCTGGGCATCCTGGCTCCTACCTGTGCATTCCTGGGGCAACGTGCTGTAAGAACATGCTGCTGGAATGGGCTGGAGATTCAAGGCTCTGGATTAAGTTTGATTCTGCCAAGAGCTATCTGAAATAAGTCCCTCCCTCAGTTTCTCCAATGACAAGACCAAGACAGCGTTGTCCACTGCACCTTGTCACAAGGGTCATTTTCTGAAGGGAATGCTTTAAAATCTGAAGGTACGGAGGATGCACACTGTAACTATGGAAATAACCTGGGACATCCAATCCTCCTGAGTCCACCTCCCACGTGCTAGGGTTTTAGGCATAGCACCCCCATGCCCAGTTTTAAGTAGTGCTGGGGATCGAACCCAGGGCTCTGTGTATGCTAGGCAAGTCCTCTACCAACTAAGCTAAATTGTTATTTGCTCATATTGCATTTTCCCCTGTTACTGTGCTATGCCAGCTACTCAAAAAAGAAAAGAAAAGAAATAAGAAAGAAAGAAGAGGATACTTTCAACTGATGCAGATAGGAATTAAGGCTGTCCTGAGGGTGACAAGACTTGTTCTCCTAGGAGTTTCTATAATGGGGGTGTGGAGAGAGAGAGACAAGGTCCCAAGGGGAACTGGGAACATCCTCTCTTTCCAGGAGTGCTCAGGACAAGGTATTGATGCACAGGCTGGTCGGGCTGGCTGCCTTCTCAACGGAAGCCGAGGCAGCTTCAGAAGCTGCAGAGAGGCCATCAAAATGGTTCAGCAGGTAAAGGTGCTTGCTGCCAAATCCGGTGACCTGAGTTTGGTCCCTGGATCTCTCTGTCTCACACAGTAGAAGGAGAGAACCAACGTTTACAAGGTGTTGTCTAACATCCATACACCCACTGTGGCACGTCCATGCCCCCCAATAAACAACTGAGTGGAATTTAAATAAAGACAAATAAATATAAAAGTTACAGAGAATGGCTAACAGAACTAGATAAAGTTGGCCAAGCATAGGGATGTTTGCCTATAATCCAGCATTATGGAGGCTGAGGTATAGGAACTGATTATTTGAGGCTAGCTCAGGATACACAACAAGATCCTGCTGCAACAAATGAACAGATAAGTAAACAAACAAACAAAAATAAGCTGAGTGTGGTGGTACACACCTATAATCCCAAAACTTGAGAAATGAGGACAGGAAGACCTGGAGTTCAAGACCAGCCAGCCACAACTACATAAGAGACTTTAGGATATCCTGGGCTACATGAGAGCCTGTCTCAAGAAACAACTAGGCTAGGGGTGTAACTCAGTTGGTAAAGTGCTTGTGTACCACACAGGACGTCCTGGCTTTGATTCCCAGCATTGCATAAACCTTACTTGGAGGTGCCTGTCTATCATGCCAGCACACAGGAGGTGGAAACGGAAGGGGCACAAGCTCAGAGTTCAATGTCAGCCTGGGATCTCTGAGACCCTCTATCAAGCAAAACAAAACTCCATCAACTATAGAAAGAATCGGATGGTGCTAAGGTTTGGATCAGTGTCCCCAAAGGTCCACATAGTATAGGTATAGGCCACTGTGGTGACACTGGGGGCTGGAGCCCTTAGGAACTACGGTCTGATGGGAAATGTTCAGGTCCCTGTGGGCATGCCTTTAAGGTAACAGCAGGGTCCACTTCCCGTCTCTTCTGTTCCTGTCTGCTTCCCAGCTTGAGATAAGAGGCGCTATTTTATCATACAGCTCCACCATACTATGCTGCCCCACCACTAGCCAATAGCAAAAGGGCCAGCTCACCATGGACTGGAGCCTCCAAACCTGTAAGCCAGAGGAACTCTTTCCTTCTCTGTGTGATCCCAAGTATTAGCTAGTGACAGGACAATGACTTGGTGTCTGCCATACGCAAGGCGAGCAGTGTCAATGACCTTTCTCAAGTCACTCCATGGGGTCAATGGCAACAGGTGACACTATTGGGGGCTATAAATAGGAAATGTCTAGGCTTAGAATCTGGCACACAGGAAGAATCTTTGGAGCAGGCTGGCTTCACGGAGGAGGAAGGTTTTGAGAGGGATTTGGTGCTTTGTTCCAGCCCCCTCAGCATTTTGCAGTCGGAAGACAGACTCTCACCCATGTCCACCTTGTGAAGCTGGTACACCTTGCTGGTGTATGTCACATGCTGAAGGATGAAATTCAGGAGCTTCTGGTCACTGGTGGAAATGGTCAGCTGCTTCTGGCCTCTGCCCTGCACCACACTGTCTGGGACATCAGCAAGGGTGTTTAGTGTCCCCAGAGAAGCTCTCAGGGTGACCTGGGGGTAGCATTAAGAGTACTCATATTATTGTGCGGCTGTCAGTTACCCCCACCCATCTCTAGAGGTTCTTTGTCCTATCCAATGAAACGTTATAGTCTCCCATCCTCCAAACCCTGATTCTAAGTGCTGTGGATGGAGAAAAAGCCATTCACAGGAAAGGCAAGTACCGAGGATGACCAGCAGGGGGCAGAGCACCCAGATGGGAGAGACCCATCAAGAGCTGGGACAGGATAAGGCTGGTTGTAAAGGGAGTAGACGCTTCTTCAGCTATGGCCCTCTCCCTCACCTCCAAGACCTAGAGACTCATGGATTTAAAGGACTCATTTCTGCAAACATCTTTATCTTTGGGTTTATGGGACACTGGTCAAGACTTCTGAATTATTTCTTCTTCTCCTTCTCTTCCTCCTCCTTCCTCCTCCTCTTCATCTTCCTCCTCCCTCTGAGGTCTTACTGTGTTGCCTAGACCATCCTTGAACTCCAGGGCTCAAAAGATCTCCCTGCCTCCTGCCACTACCTCCCTAGTAGCTGGGGTCACAGATGGGGTCACAGATGGGGCCACTTCTGCCCGGCTCCCCTGCTGCCACTATTGATTACTGTTTGTCAATCACTCTTTCTCCTCTTCCCTCTGACATTCAATACGAGTTTCCCAGGACTTGGTTCTGGGTCTTTTTCTCTTATTGTAGCACAGTTCCCTGCCAGAGGATTTTTATCCATCATCCATTTTCAAGTGGTTTCAAAATGTTTATCTCAGCACAGTTTGGTGGCACATGTCTTCAGTCCCAGCACTCTGATCTGTAAGATTGAAGCTAGCCTGGTCTACATAGCAAATTCCTGGCAGTCAGGATGAGGTAACGAGAGACCTTGCCTCAGAAAAAAATAGTGAAACAAAATGTCTGTCCCTGGCTCATCCCCCTGCCTTCACCCTGGATGGTGGCTTGAATGAGAACAGCTCCCAAAGGCTCATATGTTTGCATACTTGGTCCCCAGTTGGTGGAACTGTTTGGGAAGGATTAGGAGGTGTGGTCTTGCTGGAGGCAAGGCTTTGAGACTTCAAAAGTCTCCTGCCGCCAGGCAGTGGTGGCACATGCCTTTAATCCCAGCACTCGGAAGGCAGAGCCAGGTGGATCTCTGTGAATTCGAGGACAGCCTGGTCTACAAAATGAGTTCCAGGACAGCCTGTTACACAGAGAAACCCTGTCTCAAAAAACCAAAAAGGAAAAAAAACAAAAAAACCCAAAACAAACAAACAAAAAAAAAACTAAAACAAAAACAAAATACAGAGCAAGTAAGGCAAAAAGAAATAAAAAAATGTACAGTTTGAAGAGAAAAAGAGCAAGTCAGTGAGCAGTGTCCTTCCACGGCTTCTGCTTTCTGCTCCTGCCTTGACTTTTGACGATGCACTGTGATGTGGAACCATATTGGAAATAAGCTCTTTTCTCCCCAAGATGCTTTTGGCCATGGTGTTTAGCACAGCAATAGAAACCCTAACCAAGACACCCTGGTAGGAAGGCTCGCATGCAACTCAAACGTAGTATATTAAAAACTAAACCACTGGGCTAGAGAGGTGGGTCAGCTGTACAATCATGGGAAACAGAATATGGGGCCCGGCACCCACATGACAAGCTGGGCATTCTGTGAAAGCCTGTAACTCCAGCTCTGAGAGATAAGATGGCTTTTCTGGCCTCCGTGCATATGTACATGCACGCACACATATACACACACAGACACACACACATGCACAAAGTATTAGCCAGGCATGATGACCTGAGTTCAGTTCTCAGTACCAAAAAATAAATAAACAACCAAACAAACAAACAAATAAACAAACAAAATGTGCTAAATCATTTCATTACTAATAGAAACCGCTGTTGTAAGCCCATCATCCCCTCTCACCCAGCGTAGAAGGCATTTGCTTCCATTCCAGCTCTCAGGTACCCAAAGAGTAGCTTTTTTTTTTTTTTTTTTTTTTTTTTTTAGTTTTTTTTCAAGACAGGGTTTCTCTGTGCAGCTTTGCGCCTTTCCTGGATCTCGCTCATCTAGACCAGGCTGGCCTCGAACTCACAGAGATCCGCCTGCCTCTGCCTCCCGGGTGCTGGGATTAAAGGCGTGCGCCACCACCGCCTGGCGCTTTTTTTTTTTTTTTTTAAAGACAGAGTTGGCTGTCCTGGAACTCGGAGTGCTGAATTAAAAAGGTGTGGGCCATCACCACCCAGCCAAGAGTGGCCCTTCTTGCTCGGCTACACTGACGGCCCACCTGGGAGCAAGTTCTGCCCATTAGTTCTACCTAATGATGCTGCAACTGGAAGCAAGCTTCTCTCCATCCCCACAACCCTAAGGGCTCCCTCCACTCTTTTCTCTGGTGTCTGCAATAGCCAGGCATCTTTGTGGGAAATCGACTGGCTGGGTGGTACCACCACTCCTGCCGAAAACTTGGGCCAATCAACGGATAATTCTCTGAGAAGCAAGTTCGTAGACCATGAGGGTAAGAAGCATTCAGCCACACCCACACCATAACCAGGCACAGACAAGCACATAATAGAAGGGGCTAGAGGCATGGCTCAGTGGTAGAGCATTTGCCTTGCATGTGTGAGGGCCTAGATTTCATCCCCAGCACACTCACAAATACATGAATCACAGTTATGAGAAAAATGACGGGGATAGGATGGGAGGGCTTGTGTGGGGGACAGAGGAGGCCTCTGAGGACACAGAGCAGCTCATTCACCCCCACTCCACCCTCCAATCAGTCTCTGGGGATGAAGGATGCAGATCCCACTTCTGAGCTGAGACGGCACAGCGGGTAAGAACACTTGTTGTGGAAGTATCAGAACCTGGATTTGAGTGCCCAGTTCCCACATAAAAAAGTCAGGCAACCCCCAAAGCCGAAGAAAATAAATAATGGGGCTGGAGGGTCATGGGGGCTGGCTAGCTGTCAGTCTAGCCAAAACATAGTGAGCTCCCCAGAGTCTCAAGAAAACAGTGTGGAGAGCCCCATAGGGGAGGACAGCAACGTGCTTCCTCCGGCCTCCACACTCTTCCCTGTGTACGTACATCTCTGCACACACACTCCCCGCCTCATTTCCCAGGGCCCTTTTGCAGGTCCTGGATGAGACTGTACCTCACCCATCATACATCCCACCCTAAGACCTCAACCCAGAGCTGCGCTGGGAGGGGGCGAGGCGGAGCGCCCCGGGGAAGGCGGAGCGCCCCGGGGAAGGCGGAGCGCCCCGGGGAAGGCGGAGCGCCCCGGGGAAGGCGGAGCGCCCCGGGGAAGGCGGAGCGCCCCGGGGAAGGCGGAGCACCCTATACTTTTGTCGTCAGAGGCCACACAGGCAGCAGCCGTGGATATGGCGGCCGCTTCCGCCTAAAGCACAACAACCACGGTGATGGCTGTGAGCTCTGTGTAGCTTTGGAAGTACTCCCTGCAGTCACTCCAGTGACTGCAACACCCCTGTGCACTGCCCCCATGTCCCACTTTGAATTCATGTGGTGATTCATCTGGATAATCAATAGGGCTTGGCTGAAGGCTGAGATCAGCCATAGTTGTGGGTCAGTGCCCAAAGCGCTGGGCTGGGGACTCTTACCTCATAGACTGGGGCATCCGGCCCTTCATACTGGAGGCCTGAAAGACACAGGAGAGACCAAAAAACAAGTCTGAGAGAACAGTGACACCCCCTAGTACACTTCCCTACCTCTGACTCCCACATACATCTGGAGAGCCCACCAAGTGTCATTTTCTTTTCTTTTTTTTTTTTTTTAGTTTTTTGAGACAGGGTTTCTCTGTGTAGCTTTGCGCCTTTCCTGGATCTTGCTCTGTAGACCAGGCTGGCCTCGAACTCACAAAGATCCACCTGCCTCTGCCTCCCGAGTGCTGGGATTAAAGGCGTGCGCCACCACCGCCCAGCCCAAGTGTCATTTTCTATCAGACAGTTGACTTACCCCAGTCCCCATTCCCAGGGTTGTGAGATAGCTCCATGGTCTCAAACCCACATGGACCTAAGGCTTCCTGTGCTCACCCTCAGCTTTGGGTTCTGTGAACTCACACAGCCCCTTCCAGATGGTCCTGCTACTGAAGGGAAAGCAACAATGGAGTATGATGATGTTTTGTTTGTGCTGTAAAAAATAAAGCTTGTGCCGAGCTTTAATCCCAGCTCTTGGGATCTCATGCCTTTGATCCCAGCACTTGGAAGGCACACACCTTTAAGCCCAGCACTTGGGAGGAGGAAACAGGAAGTGATATGGCTGGGTGGAGACAGGAGCTCGGCTTTTTCAGTCTGAGGATTCCTAGAGCTAAGATGTCTTTCTAGGGACTGGCTGCTTTACTTCTCTGATCTCCAGGCAAGTTTTATTTGTTAGAGCACAAACAAAATACCACCACAATGGAGACATAATGAATGACCCTTAGACGAATCCGGGAAGAGCTGCACTCTCAGAAAAAGAAGTATAACTTGCCAGGAGGTGGGAGAGGGGATGTGATGGCCAATGCTAATTATCAACCTGGCAGAATCTAGAATCACCTGGGAGAAGGACATCTGGGCATGTCTGTAAGGTAACGAGAAGACCCACCCACTGTAGGAGGTACCATTCCCGAGGCAGGGGGATTCTGGATTGTGTGAATGGATAAAACAAGCTGAACACTGACCTGCCTTCACCTGTTGCCCTCTCCCACTGACTGGCCACACACATAATATGACTAGGTGCTTCAGGCTCCTGACGCCTTAATTTCCCCACCACGACAGTCTGTGAACTGGAACTATGAGGTAAAATAAACCTTTCTCCCCTGAATTGCTTTTTTGTCAAAGCAAAATTAAGACGAGGTAGTTATTGGTAAATGGTTGTAACGTTTCAGAGTGTGTGTAGAGTACACACACATTGCAGGTAGAGTGCTTGCCTAGCATGCACAATGCCTTGGGTTTGATCCCCGGCACCACACAACCCTGGGCATGGCCGTGCAAGCATGCATTCCCAGTACTCAGGTAGTAGAGGAGAGAGGGTCAGGAGTTCAAGGCCATTGCCTTACGTCGTGACATGTGGATTTGGAGGCTAGGCATAGGAGACGCTGTCTCAAAAACAAACATGTATCTGAGCAAAGTGACCATTGAGTGCTCAGTTCTAAAGGAGACATCTCTACACCATCCCCTCCGAGGGAAGCTCATAGAAGAGGAGGGGGGAAAGCCTGAGAGTCAGAAGGTGGGGAGCAGTCCTGTACAACGCCGTCTTCGGGATAGGATGTGGCCTTTTCTGTCACGGACTCACAGCAGCTGTGGTTACCTGCACAAGACCCAGCCCATCAAGGATGAAGGAAGAGCTCATGAGGCCACACCCATCTGTGAGGAGCTATCCGCAGTTAATGGTTGGAGAAGGGGAGACAGTTTCTTCAGTGGTATAGCTGCAAGTAAGCTGCTCGAATAGTAGTACGTGACCCCACCCCGACAAGCACGCCATACTCTTGCAAGCAATCCTAATAAACTCATTGGGTCATATTTATTTATTTTAATTTTGTAATTTTTTTATTTTATATGTATGAGTGTATTTTGCCTACATGTATGTATGTGCAGGGTTTTGTTTTTGCTTTTTCGAGACAGGGTTTCTTTGTGTAACAACCCTGGCTGCCCTGAACTTGCTCTGTAGACCAGGCTGACCTCGAACTCACAGAGATCTGTCTGCCTCTGTCTCCTGAGTGCTGGGATTAAAGGCGTGCACCACCACTACCTGGCTTGTCAGGATATTTTATCTACGTAACAGGAAACAAACAACAAAATGACCCTCCAAGGCTTTCAAATTATTTGTAACAGTATTCCTTGAAACTACTAAGCAGATTAAGCAATTTAATATTATTTCATTCAAAAATAAAAAACACACAACAAACAGACTGGAGAGATGACTCAGCAGTTAGGAGTGCTCGCTACACAATCATAAGGATCTGAGTTCAGGTCCCACAAATGCCTGTTATCTTAGATCTGAGGGGTGCAGAGACAGGAGGATTGCTGGGACTTGCTGACTTCCAGCCTAGCAGAGAATTATGAACTCCAGAAAACCTGCCTCAAAAGGAAAAGGCAGAAGTAACAGAGGACATCGCTAACACGGTCTTCTGGCCTCCATACACATCTACATGTATTCATGTACATATATACTCACACAGACACACAGAGATGCATAAATACTAAGTATTTTTAAATAAACAAAAATCAAGCAAATGTGTGTGTGGTTTTGGTTTTGTTTGTTTGTTTTGTTTTGTTTTTTTTCTTGAGACAGGGTTTCTCCGTGTAGTTTTGGTGCCTGTCCTGGATCTCACTCTGTAGCCCAGGCTGGCCTCTAACTCACAGAGATCCACCTGGTTCTGCCTCCTGAGTGCTGGGATTAAAGGTATGCGCCACCGCCACTCAGCGATGTTTTTTGTTTGTTTGTTTGTTTGTTTTATAAACGAGTTACCCAAAACGTAAAATCATTTTTATTTTATTTTATTTATTTATTTTTTTTTAATTTTTTTTTTTTTTTTTTGGTTTTTCGAGACAGGGTTTCTCTGTGTAGCTTTGCACCTTTTCCTGGAACTCACTTGGTAGCCCAGGCTGGCCTTGAACTCACAGAGATCCACCTGGCTCTGCCTCCCGAGTGCTGGGATTAAAGGCGTGCGCCACCACCGCCCGGCGTAAAATCATTTTTAAATGGCTACTCAAAATCATTACCAGGCTTAAGGGTATAACTCACTGGAATGGTACTTGTCTAAAAAGCCTTGGGTTCAACCAACAGTGCTCTCCTTCCGGGCAGGATTTACTAGTTATCTCACAGGATGTAATTAAGTGTGACTTCAGCTTGAACAGAAGACTGGCAAGCAGTAGAGGAGGAGGTTTAGCTGTCACTGGGCCAAGGGGGCTGCTTCTCCCTCCCCTTGTTCCGTCCGGAAGGCTCGGCCACAGATCTGGTACCTGCCTGCCTTCTGTCCCGGCCACTCGCTCTCACCTCCACCTGTTAGCAGTGTGAGTTTGGATAATTTGGGTCTCGCTTATGGAGACTCGCTGGATCCCGTGTACCACTGTCACCCAGCTCAACTCAGGTCTTTTCCATGGCTCATGGCAGGGGCTATTTGTCTCTGGATGCCAAGAGCCCATAGCAAGGGAGGTATTCACCAGATGGTCCGGAGCCCACCCACCACTTCTGCGGGAAAAATGCGCATATTGCTTGTGGTGTCTCCTGGCCTTGCTGCACTTGGCTTTGAAAAAGCAGGCGATGGAGAGGCAGAGGGATGCGTAAAGACCCCATGAAGGGCTAGTTTTCTTTTTGTTTTATCTTTATTGTTTAATCTTATTTGCTTTAATTTGGGGTGTTTGGTATGGAGGTGTGGGGTTAAAACTGTGTAGCTGAGGCAGGCCTCAAATTCCTGATCCTCCTGCCTCAGTCTCCTGACTTTTGTATGAGTACTGGTGTGTGCTGCCACACTGAGCTTGGAAAGGAATTTAATTGTTATTTCATTTTATATTTTAATTTTTTTTATTTTGTGCATAGGGAGTGTGTGTGTGTGTGTGTGTGTGTGTGTGTGTGTGTGTGTGTGTAGGGGTACATGCATGCCATGGTTCATGTGGGCAGGTTAGGAGCCTGAGGAAGCTGGCTTTCTACCATGTGGGTCCTGAGTATGGACCTCAGGCGGCAGCCCTGGCATGGGCACCTTTCCCTGCCGAGCCACTCCCTCTTCCTGCCCTACGAGGGAGTTGAACCGACATAAGTATTCTTTTCAAAACATTCTCCCTGGAGATAGGCTCATCAATTCGCTCTTGGTGCTAGAGGACCTTTGAAAGCCAATTATTACCTAAGATCCCCCCAGAGGCCCACAGAATTCCAACTTCCATGTTACCTTAGAGCCACAGGGAATCTGCAGCTACAAAGAGAGATTCCAGGTTGTGTAATCAGGGAGTCTAACAGAATGAAATCCTGTGAGGGCCCACAGAGGTTCTCTAGTGAGACCTTACTCAGGGTCAGAGAATCTGGGCTTGCTTTACCCAGCAGAGCTGCATAATGGGATGATTTGGCCACAGGCATGGTTACCAGGTGTTCTGAAGGGTCTACACTTGGCTGTATGTTGTGCTTTGATCTTGAAAGGGGGAGGTCTTTTGCCTCACCCCTTGGCATTGTATAAAAAGCCCTTTGGAATAAACCCCAAGGCGAGCAGGTATGGACCCAGGGCCCTCCCAAAGCTATCCTGTGTCTCTGTCTTTCTTATTGTCTTCTTCTTTCTATCTAATACTTCCTCATTCCTCTCCCCCACCAAGAACCCTTCGAAAGGTGGGCGCTGGTCTCCCACGGACTCCCACAAAGTCCCACAAACTTCCTGTGTTGTGCCAAGTGCACAAGGACACCCAGTGAATGGCTGGCTGCAGCCTTTTAGGACGCAGGTGTACCTACCTGGGATGAGAATTGTGTGCAGGGGAATCACCTCCACTCCATGGACTGGGTATCCAAAGGGGAGATTGGGTGGAGCCAGCAGAGGTGGTGGGCGAGGCAGCCCTTTTCTTCGGGAGATAGCAAGAATGAGTCAGTGTACAACAAAACACATTTTAAAAATCGCCCTCATAATCAACAAGAACAAGTGAAATTATCACCTGCACATACATATGATATAAAAGAATAAAAAGTAAATCTTGATGAAAGAATATCTGCATCCCTGACAGACCAGTTATATTTGCCTGCTTCCTGAAGTAGAATATGCCTATGCCAGAAACAAGTATCATAGACTTCAATGCAAGCAAGAATTAAGGTTCACGTTCAGCGACAACCAACTCGCGCTGCATAAGAAGTATTTCTCTAAAACCTCTTGGCTTTTAGTTACTTTTTTTTTTTTTTTTTTTTTGGAGCTGAGGATCGAACCCAGGGCCTTGTGCTTGTTAGGCAAGTGCTCTACCACTGAGCTAAATCCCCAACTCTTTAGTTACTTTTAAAGGGGCTGACACAAGTGACTCCATCTTATTGGTCTGAGACAGGTCTTGCCATGAAGCCTAGGCTATCCTTAAACTTATAATCCTTCTGTTCTCGGCTTCCCACATTTTGGGATTATAGGTAAGTACTACCCTGCCCAGCATGTACAAAGCCCCTTCAAGAAAAACCAGCCAGAACTTATTTTAATTCAACCAACAGTCTTGGTGTCCATCCTTTGTAACTGAAAAGGAAGGACTGGGGCTGTGGCAGAGCATGTGCCTAGCACATGCAAGGATCTGGGTTCGATTTCCAGCACCACGGGAAAGAATTGGGGGTGGGGCGTTGAGTGCTTGCCTAGCTTATAAGAGGCCCTAGGTTCAGTGTCCAGCACCATCAAAAGATAAAAAGTGACCCACTCGGGCTGGAGAGATGGCTCAGCGGTTAGAGCACTGGCTGCTCTTCCAGAGGTCCCGAGTTCAATTCCCAGCAACCACATGGTGGCTCACACAACCATCTATAGTGGGATCTGCTGCCCTCTTCTGGTATGTTGGTAGACATACAGAGCACTCATAAATAAAAAGTGACACTCTACTCAGACCTGGCAGACGGTGTGTTCCCAGCGTAGAGAGTCACCTTCTGTGCTGGGCTGCGCCACCACCACGACTGAGCGAGCGGCGTTGAGCTCTCTCTTCCTTTTTCTCTACTGATTTTATTGAAATGTTTTATGTGCACAAAACCCTCCAGATCTTCCTTGGAGGACTCTATTCTCTACTGTCTTCCTCTCTTTATTCCCGATGGTTCCTCCCAGGGGCCCCGAAGGAGGGGGAGGTCCAGACTTTTTTCTTAGGGGTCCTCACTCCCTTAAGCACTTGGAGTGGGTGTTTGTTCTCCCTGGTGACCCCGAGAGCCCCCACAGCCCGCATCACCTCCTCTGAAAGTGTTCAAATTCCGCCTGTCTCCTGGCAGTCGCAGCTGGGAGGTCATTCTGGCTATAAGCACCCTGAAAATTGTATTTTCTTCGCAGCTGGCCAGAGTCACAGTCGCACTGGTTTTTAGGAAAGAGCCTAAAACATACAAGAGACACAGATACACATGGATGGTTGAAGGGAGTGAGGGGACCTTAGCCCTAATCTTGTGTGACACTCACCCTGAAAGTCTCTTTTCCTACGTGGCTCTCCTAACTTGGGGGGGGGGGGCGGCTCACAGAGACAGCTTGAGGCAGGCAGGAGGGAGGGTGAAGGGAAGGACTGAAGAGCCTCCTCTCTTTTCTTTCTTTTCCCTCCCCCCTTAGAGACGAGCTCTTGTCTATGTGGCACAGACTATCCTCAAACCCATGGCAAACACCCTACCTCAGTCTTCTGAGTGTACCACCATGCCCAAGAACCCTCTCTTGAATTATCCCCTCCACCTAGCTTCTTTAAACCCCAGAGCCATGGGCAATTCAGTTGGCAGTAAGTCCCAGTAGGGCAGACGCAAGAGGCAACATCTTCCCCCTGAGGTTATATGGTTTCTGGGTGCTGTGGAGGACAGAGACTGTATCCCACAGACCATGCCTGGTCTCTGAGAGTCACTTTAGTAATGAGTAGCTGTTCAGAACTGCCCATAAGGCCTAGGGCCCCAGGGAGAAGCAGGGAAGAGACCCAGAGTCTCACCAGATGTCTTCGTAGGTAAAGAGGTTCCTCAGGTGCTTCTCAGGTAGAAGCTTCAGCACTGAGCCACCCAGTCCAGGCTTCAGGAACTCTGGCTTGAAGCTGCTGAGCACTGCTTGAAAGGATACACTTCTGGATATAAATAGAAGAACGGCAAGTCCTAGGATCATGAGTGAGATCTTGAGGAGCCACAGAAATCTGGAGCTGGCAGAACACAGAGAGAAAAAGCAAAATGCATTAAAAATGTTTGACCTCGGGGGCTGGAGAGATGGCTCAGAGGTTAAGAACACTTGGCTGCTCTTCCAGAGGTCCTGAGTTCAATTCCCAGCAACCACATGGTGGCTCACAACCATCTACAATGAGATCTGGTGCCCTCTTCTGGCCTGCAGGCTGAACACTTGCTGTATACACAATAAATAAATAAATCTTAAAAAAAAATGTTTGACCTCAAGGAGCTGGGACTATAGCTTAGTCAGAGACGCTGCACACTAGGACCTGAGTTCAGTCTCTGGCACCCACATAAAAAGCTGGGTACCGCAACCACTGTGGAAATGGCAATTTCTCAGAAAATTAGGAATCGAACTACCTCAAGACCCAGCCATACCACTCTTGGGCATATACCCAAGGAATGCTGATTCATACCACATGCTCAACTATGTTCATAGCAGCACTATTTGTAATAACCAGAACCTGGAAACAACCTAGATGCCTGTCAACCAAAGAATGGATTAAGAAAATGTGGTACATATACACAATGGAGTACTACTCAGCAGAGAAAAACAATGACAGCATGAAATTTGCAGGAAAATGGATGGAACTAGAAAAAAATCATCCTGAGTGAGGTAACCCAAATCCAGAAGGACAAACATGGTATGTACTCACTCATAAGTGGATACTAAATATAAAGCAAAGAACAATCAGACTGCAACCCACAGAACCAGGGAGGCCATACATCAGGGGGGACCCTAGGATGACTGTGGCTTATAATAAGTTTTGATTTTACTCAATCACTGGGCAAGCCTCAATGAAACATTTCACTATTAGGATAAGAATTTGTACTGCGCCGGGCGGTGGTGGCACACGCCTTTAATCCCAGCACTCAGGAGGCAGAGCCAGGCGGATCTCTGTGAGTTCGAGGCCAGCCTGGTCTCCAAAGCGAGTTCCAGGAAAGGCGCAAAGCTACACAGAGAAACCCTGTCTCGAAAAAAACCAAAAAAAAAAAAAAACCAAAACAAAAAAAAAAAGAATTTGTACTGTATCAAGCTGATAATAGAAAAATAAACAAATTAATTAATTAAAAAAAATAAAAATTAAAAATTAAAAAATTGAACTATTAAAAAAAAAAAGCTGGGTATGGACTGGTAGAGGGCTCCGTGGGTAAAAGAGGACTTGATTCCCAGAACCCACAGTGGGAGGACCAGACCAGCTCCCACAAACTGTCCTCTGACATCCACACCTGAGTCATGGCATTTGCACATATACATTCACATGCACATTCAATAATAATCATCTAATTTGTTTTGTTTGAGACAGGGTCTCACCATACAACCCTGGCTGGCCTGGAGTTAACTGTGTAGATCATTCTGACCTTGAATTCATAGAGATCTGCCTGCCTCTGTCTCTCATGCTGGGACTAAAGGGGCACACCACCACTCTTGGATTAATAATTAACTTTTAAAAGTTGGGTACGTTGGTACGTGCTTGCAATCCCAAGATAATCAGGACAACAATGGAGGATCTTGGGGCCTCACTGGCTAGCCAGTCTTGCCTAATGGTGAGCTCCAGGCCAGTGAGAGGCTCTCTTAAAGAAGGTGAAAGGGATTTCTAAGGACAACTCAGAAACAGAGAAGGAAGGAGTAACAAAGGACTTGGGAAAATTAAGGGATGGGCAAAACAATCTCAAAATGGGGCGGGGGGTGCACAGAAGCTCATGTATCAGCCACTTCTGTGTCAAGTCGATGAAAAGATTTGCAGAAAGCATCTGAAGTGGGCTCTCTCGGCCCCATGGTTTCAGAAGTTCAGCCAGTCATTGCAGAGGCAGCCCCAAGGAGGTTCCTCACACCACAGCACAACACGAAGTTGGGAAGGGGAAAATCTAGAACTCTGGGTTTATCTTTTTATTTATTTATTTTTTAACTTGTTGCCCCAGGTCCAAAGGACAGTACCACCTACATCAGAGTAGGTCTTTGTTTGTGCTGGGACCCTCTTCCTAGGGAGACTAGAGCAAACACCTGTTCACTCTAAATAGAGAATAACAACAGACCAGCATAATGATCACACCGAAGTCCATCTTGGTGAATCAACGACTCTATCGGGAATATAGTGAGGTTTCTCACAGGAGAAGAGACAACCGAAGGGGGCTGTATCACCAAAGAGTGGACCCCAACATGGGTCAAAACTCATGAAAGTTGCAACCCTGAAGCTCTCTGTAGAACTTGAGGGCAGCTCTCTGGGTCTGAGCATCTCCTCCAGGCAGCTCCGAAGCTGGTGGAAAAGCCCCTCCCCCAACAGCTGCTTGCTGCCTTCGTAGTCTTGGGAGGGCCCTGAATATCTTGTGGGTTTTTTTTGGGGGGGGGGGTAATAAAAACAATCTCAGCATTTATTGTCACCTGATAATAAAATAAGGGCCACTAAAACAATATGAATAAATGTTTCGGACTGTGCTCCCAACAGAAGACACCTTTACTGTATTGCCTCTTCAACTCCTCAATGCTTGCCAGTTTCTAGTTGGAAACACTCTGGAGCAGAGTAATACTGTCTCCTTTCAGCACGATCCGACCCAGATGTTTCCTTGACTCTGTTTTAGAGTGAATTTCTTCTGCATCATCTAATACGAGGTCCACGTACTCATCAAAGCCAATAATACAATCCTCTATCCCCATATTCATTTGCTCATACAGTCAGACCTGAATCCGAGACCTATTTTGCAAGTGTCTGAAGATGAGGTTGAAGGTGCATCCCCTTCTGCACCTTCTGGCTCTGGCCATGGTGTGCCATGGTGTGCCATGGTGTGCCATGGTGTGCCATGGTGTGCCATGGTGGAAGTCACAAGACCACACGAGTAGGAAGGCGCCTCAGGAAGCCATCTTGTTCTGTTGTTTTTTGTTTGTTTGCTTTTGTTTTTTAGGAACTTCTGAGACTTGAGTTGTTTATTTTTTGAGTGCGCCGCCCACCTTTCTCGAGGGGATGTTTTAACTCAGAACTTCCTGAGCCTTAAGGAGTCTCCTGTTTAATCCTCTCTGGAAATAGCTTCACCGACTATCTCAGTTAGGACTTTGTGTATGGTTTTTGTTTGTTTGTTTGTGAGTGTGTGTGTGTGTGTGTGTAGTTTTTCAAGACAGGGTTTCTCTGTGTAGCCCTGGTTGTCCTGGAACTCACTCTGTAGCCCAGGCTGGCCTTGAACTCAGAGATCAGCCTGCCTCTGCCTCCCGAGTGCTGGGATTAAAGGTGTGCACCACCACACAGCCTGGCTCAGGTAGGGTTTTATTGCTGTGAATAGATGCCATGACCACAGCAACTCTTATAAAAGAAAACACTTAATTTGTAAAAGAGTCTCTATGTAGTCCCACCTTAAGCTTTATTGTGCACCTGGAATTGGACTGATTGTTGTCTGAAAACCTTTTCCAAATTGTATCGTGTGTGTTCAGTATGCTGAACAACGAACCACCTGGCATTAGCCTCCCCGAAGTCTGATCCAGGCTGACAAGTCAGTCCGCACCAGGTTTTCCTTCTCATCTCTGAGGTATGACACCTGCTGGGACCCCTTCCTTATGAGATCTACATCTTGTCTTAGTCTCTGTTCTGTGGCTGTGAAGAGACACCATGACTGAGGTAGCTCTCCTAAGAGAAAGCGTTTCACTGGGACTCGCGTACAGTTTCAGAGGTCAGTCCATTATCACCACGGCAGAAGGCATGGTGGCGTGCAGGCAGACGTGGTGCTGGAGACGTAGCTGAGAACTACATCCTGATTTGCTGGCCAAGAGACTCTGGGCTTGGCATGGGCTCTTGAAACCTCAAAGCCCACCCCCAGTGACACACTTCCTCCGGCAAGGCCACACCTCCTAACCCTTTGAAATATAGTGCCACTCCCTGGTGACCAAGTATTCAAATACATGAGCCTATAGGGGAGCATTCTTTAATTTTTTTATATTTTGCTTATTTTGAGACAGGGTCTCTCTATGTAGCACTGGTTGTCCCAGAACTCTCTCTGTAGACCAGGCTAGTCCTGAACTCACAGAGATCTGCCTGCTTTTACCTCCTGGGTACTGGGACTAAAGGTGTGTGCCACCACCTGCCCAGCTAAAATTTTTATTTTTATTTTATCTTACATGTGTAGGTATTTTGCCTGCATGTATGTCTGTGCACCACATGCATGTCTTGTACCCACAGAAGCCAGAAGAGGGTGAGTACAGTTATAGATGGCTGTGAGCCACCACGTGGGTGCTGGGAATCGAACCCATGTTCCCTGGAAGAGCAGCCAATGCTCTTAACCTCTGAGCCAACTCTCCAGCCCCCTAATGGGAGTCCATTCTTATTCAAACCCACCACACATCTATAAATAAATAAATAATCACTCGGGAGGCAGAGGTAGGCAGATCTTTGTGAATTCAAGGCCAGCCTGGTCTACATGGCAAATTCCATGACAGCCAGGGATACGTAAAGAGACTCTGTCTCAAAAAACAAAGAGGAAAAAGAAGAGAAAAGGAGGAATAGCCATCCTCTAGGCTGGGCTTCAAGAGGTCATGATTCTAAAGCATGGTTATAGATCCAGGACTCAACAAGCACATGGAATAAGTCCATGACCAGAAATGCTCAAGTATATAGATATAAAAAAAATATGGGGACTCTTCACTACCTTTGTTATGTATTCCTGTTAACATCTGAACTTTGTAAAATGGTGGCAAAAACACCTTCATTTAAACTAATCAAATTACAGAAACACTGGCAAAAAAAACCAGTCCCTTATTTTCTTCATCAACTTTTTTGTTTGTTTGTTGTTTGTTTTTGCTCTGTTTTGTTTTTTGAGACAGGGTTTCTCTGTGTAACAGCTCTGGTTGTCCTGGAACTCTCTTTTTAGCCCAGGCTGGTCTCAAACTCACAGATCCACCTGCCTCTGGCTCCCGAGTACTGGGATTAAAGGTGTGCACCACCACGCCCAACTCTTCATCGATTTCTTAGCCTCTTAAAAACTATAATTTATTTATTTCGTGAG